CCGCCGGTCCTCCTGGACTGGCGGGCCTCATGGACTGCCGCGCCTCCCCCCGCCCTCTTCGTACGTGCGCATCCGTCCGTCTGCACACCTTCCAGGCCCTGCGCCCCGCGCGCGGCCGTCATAGCTAAAAAGAAGAACCTGCCATGGGCTCCCGCCGCCTGCGGCCGCCAGCTCCCCTTTGCACAGCCCAGTTGAGCCGCTGGGCAGGGTGGCGCCCGCATCAACCCCTGCAACCCCTTGGGACGGCCGGGCGGCCTAGCTGCTCGGCCGCGGCCGCCACGGCCGCGCCCCAGGCATGCGGTATGGGCGGTGGCGCGGGCGGGGCGCTCACAAGGGGTAGGGCGGGCGCGTCCTCGGCCGCGCAGGCGCGGAGGTTGCCCCGCTTTGCGCCCAGTACCCCCGCGCCCGGCCCTGGCCCCTGGTCGCCGTCCCGGCCCCACACTGTCGCTACCTCTGTCCCGCGGGGCCCAGCCTCGCAGCCCCTGTGCCCGCGAGCCCCACCTTTGTCACAAGTGCTACATCTGTCCGCGGGAAACACAACCCCGCGCGGCGCGCGTTTGCGATACAACAGCCGCGCCGCCCGCGGCTCCGCCCCAACGCGCCAACGCGCCACCGCGCGGCGCGGGCCCTCACACCACCCACTCTTTGCGAACCCGCCGCCCCAAGGCGGGCCCCGCTTGCCGCGCATCCCCGCAGGCCGCCCGCTGCGCCCGCCGCGCGCGGGGCGGCTTCACCTGATTGTCGGGCGCGCGGGTTCCCCCCCTCTCTTAAGTCGGGGGCCCAGGCCCGCCCCCCCCTCCCCTCGCTACGTTTACACCGTTATTGTCGACCCCCCAGGAAACGCACAGCGCGCCGCGCCGGGCGCGCGCGCGGCGCGCGGCGCGCGGCTCGGGCCAGGATTGGGGGGCGGGGGCAGGCCGGTGTCGGACGGAGCATTGCGTGCGGCCGCCCCCCTTCCTTCTCAGTGCAACCTGAGAGGGCCCGAGCCCGCGCCCGCGGTCCTTAATCTGAGGGGCGCCCCTGTCCCTTCCCCGTTCACGCCCCCGGCCCCGGCCCCACGCTGCGCCCGGCCCGCACGGCCGCCACCCGCGGCGGGGTGCGCTTGGTGCGGCGGGGACGCGCGGCCGGCCGCATTGCGGGCCAGCCCCCGTCTTTTTTGCAGTGCCGCGTGGCATCTTGGGCACGCGCCTCAATTCGTGCCCCCGCTTGCGCCCAAGCACCGTGCGGCCGCCGCCGCTGCCGCTGGCCGTCGTGGCGTGTCGGGCGCCGCACTTCCCCCACCACCGCGCGCCCCTCCCCGCCTCCCAATTGGCGGCGCGGCTTCCCTGGGCAGGCGGCCCCGGCCCTGCCCCCATCCTCTCGCGCCTCTTTCGGCCCCCGCCGGCTGCTGCCGCCGTCCCCATCAATTTTCTCGACCCCCCATACCCCGCGTTTCTATGCCCATGCCTCTCGTCCGGACGCAGCGGCGCCTGGAGGGCCGACCTTGTCTGTTAACACTTCCCGCGCCTCAACGCCCCGCCCTGCGGCGCCGCCCCGGACCGGCGCCCCTGAACGCGCGCGCGCGCGTGTCTTGCCCACGGCCGAGACCCGCTGCGCCGCGCCGCGCACCCTCCGCTCCTGCATGGGCGCTGCGGGGCGCGCGCCCGGCGGCCCCGCCGCGCCCTGCACGCTCGCTGCGCAGCAAAAAAACTCCCGCGCGCGCCCACAGCCAATGCGGCGGCCCCATCAGCACCATTCCCCCCTTTTGCGCACGCACGACGCACCCCATTATACAATTCCGCAGACAGACGCTTCCGTCCGCCCCCGCGCCCCGCGCGCCGCGTCGGGCCCGTGGCCCCTGGCGCTGCCGCGGCCGCGCCCGTGCCCACTGCTTGGGGCCCGTTGTTCGCGCGTGGGGGGCCGCCGTAAACAGTTGCTACATCCGGGCCCGCGCCTCCCTTTTTCTGCCGGCGCTTGCGCCCGCCTCCCCGTCCCTCCGCGCACGCGCGCCCAAGGCGCTTCCGCCGGCGGCCGCCGTTGGGGCCCCGCCCCTTCCACACGCGAGCGCCCCTGCCGCGCCGCGGCGCCGCCGCAAGCCGCGCCCACGGCCGCGGCTGCGGGCCGCCGCCGGCCTGGGGCGCCGCGCCCCCTCTTGCCGCACTCCTCGCTGCCTTGAGCCCCGGCGACACACAAGCATTACCGTTTTGATCCGCAAGTGCCTTTTTCGCCCGCTGCGCGAGCACCCCTCAACCCCCCTTCACCTCCGACAGCGGAGCCACACTAGCCCTAGCCCCCCTCCCCCACGGCACTGCGACAGCCCCGAACAGCAGCGCCGGCCCCAGCGCCCGCACATTCATGCATCGCCGCCGGCCCCGCGCCCCCGCTGCAGGCGCGGGAGCACCTGGCCCCCCGCCACCTGTCACGGGCCGGGGCGCCCTTCATGTGTAAATCACACCAACTTCTCCCCATGGCCCGTCAGCCCCACTCATCATGCTGTGGTGTCTCCTTGCGCATATGTCAGGAGTGTGCGGTGGATGCTGGCACGCCTTTCCAGGCGTGGGGCTTACACATGGCTTGCTGCGCTGAGGTCAGCAGGGTGTGTGTGTGTGTGTGTGTGCGCGCGCGCGCAGAGGTGTGCCCCTGCCGGCCGCCCCAGGGGCGGCTGCGGCTGCTTACATACTCGTCCGTGTCCCACTCTTCGTCAGCAACGGTCGAGCGCTGCACCGCTCGTCAGCGCCTGCGGTGATTGAATAGCACACGAGCGGCACCATCACCGGCCCGCCGGCAGCGTGGCCAAGGCGCAAGGGGCAGAGCAGGCCAGACAGTCCGAGGGGATTACAAGTACTGTATGCGGCCAGCTCTCCCGCGTGCCACCCAGAAACGCACGCTGCAGGGCGCGCCCGTGCGCAGAGGGCTCCACACCAACGGGTCAAGTACTAGGGTTGTCCGGGTGTCCCGTGTTCAGGTCCCCCCCCCAAAAGGCCAGGGGGCCAGCGGGGGCTAAGTGGGGTGGGGGCAAGTGAGGATCCAGTGGGGCCGAGGGGCGGGGTGCGCTAATTGTGTCATGTTGTACGATCAGGCGGCGATGTCAATGTGACTGTTGACTGAAGTCGTCGGTCTGTGCAAACTCCACTCCTCAACACTGGCTGGGAAGGTGACAGCAGCCCCTTGTTTCAGGGGCGCAGGGTGTGTTTGCGCGCCCCTTGTTCAGGGGCAGGCGGCAAAGTGCATGCGCCAGCGTTCACTTGCAGCGGGCGGGGCGATATCCAAGCTAACAATCAAAACCTTGTGACAAAGTACGTGCAAGTGCCCGCAAACCAGAGGCTGCGTTGACCCCAATCCTGCAATGTGGCCGCCTGCCTCAGCTGCACCGCAGTTTGCGCACGCTTCATGAAGCGTCTGCGCACTGCCCACCCCGCATTGCGTGCCGGGTCGGGCCGCAACGGCGTGCGGGGTTGGCGGCACTCGCCCGGTCTCCTGGTCAGCGCCGACAGGCCAGTGCCCCTTGGGCCCGCCGACAGCGTGCAGGCGCCGATCGCAGTGCCCTGTGCAGCAGGGGCCGGCCTGCCACGTGGACCCATGCAGAAAAGTGGACGGCATGTGCGCGGAAAAGCATGCAGGTGGTGCAGGACGCGCGGCACATGGTTCGCATGCCTCTGGGCTTCCCAAGCACACCAGCCGGAGCGAGGCCCAGGCGTTTGTGCACAGTCAACCTTTGGGGCAGTCAAACCTGGGTCCCGGCTTCCGCATGGTTCAGGTGGAGGCGCCGATTGAGTCAGCCGCGCATGAAACAAGCCACGGATCGCATGGCCAGGGGCAGGGGTGCAGCCTGCCAAAGACCGCGGCAGGCTGCGCCAGCCAGGCCCGCCGCGCTGCTGCCAGACAGCCCACATGATGAGGTAGGCCATCCCGCAGGAGCAGCCGGCGGCTGCGACCAGAGTTGGGCCAGCGGTGTAGACCGCGGGCTGCGCGGGCGGCAGTCACTGCAGGAGGGCGCACACGCGTTTGGTAGGACGGCAGCCAATGAGAGGCCGATGCCAGCCACTGGGGCAGGGCGGTGCGCAGACGCCCCTGCCGGCGCCTATGCGTGACGGGCCGGCGCCGCGCCGCGCCGCCGCGGCTGGACAGGGCTGCCCGCCGGCGCCTGCGCCGCCTTTACAGGCGCGCCGGCGCCCGCCTTGCCGGCCGCCTTGAAGACCAGCTCCACTGTCACTGGCGCGACCGCGTCGGCCGCGCCGCGCGCCGACGCCGCCGATTCCGCCGCTGCCGCTGCGAGCCGCGGAGCCGCGGGGGTTGGGACGGGAATGTCGTAGCCCATCAGCAGCCGCGGGCAGTCGTACAGCGTGATGGGGTTGCCCAGGGCGCGCGAGCTGCCAATGATTACGGTGTTGAAGCGGTTGTGCAGGGTGTAGCCCACCATCCCCCAACCGCCTGCGGGACGGGGGCGTGCGGCGGGGAAGGGGGGGCCAGCGGGGACCGCAACGTGGGCGGGTGCGGCGGGCGCGGGCGCGGGCGC